AAAATGGTTTGATCTTTGAGCAGTAGGGTTCGTTCCTCGCGGTGGACGGTTTAAAAAATAAAGAAAGCTGCCAGGGACCTACTTTATTAATCTAATTCCTGTGGCTCGTTAGGTAGGCCAGCTAACAGACTGAACGACACACTGAAAACACACACCTACTGAGTACACACATAATCTGTAATGTACAAAGAATATTTCAACTTATAGCACCTACAACAAAAATGGCCGTTCTTCTCAGAAACGCCGGCGTTGATGGCTTTCACATTCACTAATCAACCAGAGCCGTTCCCATGGATGTACCAAGGACACGATTCCACTCTTACTGTCGTACAGCGCTGACTAAGCCGCAGTACATGCCACGCTGGACTCAGTGACACACGTAAGGTGAATGGTCTAAGTATGAAAAGGCAGTGTTAACGCCATTAACAATGTGTGCCAAACATTAACTAGCTGCTTAACAGATATTGTGAGGAACGTCTCCTATACAAGAAACATTAATTCTGCACTATCTCGTCAAAACACTGTATCACGAATACTAACCACAAGTATTATTCTATCTAACTGTCACTAAACTAAGATTTGTTTTACCCGTCGCAGTCCTACATCTGTCCAGTCCAGTGTCCTACAACACATCTTCGCGAGCAAGCTCCTGTTCAAGCGTTTTGTTCCTCTCTCGCGTTTGTTAGTTAGTTAGTTAGTTAGTTAGTTGGGTTATCGTCATTGCACTCCGGACATGTCCATAGGTGCTCAGATCCTCCCCTCAGTATGAACCCCAACGTCCGATGGCTAATAGTACCAGTTCTATGTTGATTAACAAGTCTTCTGACGTGTCCGGTGTGCGTCTCGTTTTTTGCTGTGCCGATCTTAATTCCCAAGTCTGCCATTCTGGCGAGTGATGTGGATTCACTGCCACCAAAGTCCTCTATCCTTCCCATTTCTCTGAGGGCATTGATAATATCAGCATGATCCATAGGCCGACCGTCGGTAGTGATAGCGGATCCAGCCAACCTGTCAGCTCTTTCATTTCCATCGACGCCTGCGTGTCCCGGAACAAAAATAAAGGTGACTCCACGCACAGTGGACTTCTGTAATGATTCAAGCCATTGTCTTCGCACGTTTATCTCGTGTTACTAGTGGTTCGTAGGGCTTAGCTCATCTCAGTCGACACAGTTTATTCCGTGGTGAGACTGTCCGAACTCGCTCTGAGCTTGACTGAGGGTCAACTCGTTCATACGTGATGATTCACTACCATCACACCTATTCATCCCGTAGCCGAACTGGTCTCTGACAAAAGCCTTCTAGTGGTTTTCGGACAATGGAACGAGAATGGCACCATAAAAGAAATTGAGACCTCGCTTGGCAAAATCTTTAAAGACAAAAGCGGTACTCTCTAGCACACCTTTGTTCTGGAGACTGCAAAAATGGGGGGGGGGGGGGGGGGGGGGGGGGGAAGGTAAAAATCACTGTTTGTGTTGCCTGCTGATTTGGGAGAATTGTGGTATTGTGGAAAGGGACAAAGTGGTATGATAGTTATTTCCGGGAGTTTAAAGGAATGTCCCGTGAACAGTGTCAATATTAGCCCAAGGGTGATGGAGAGTCAATGTTCGGACCAGTGAGAAATGTTTTGGAACGGAAGGGACACGAAGGACATAGAAAGTAGATGCGTAGGCTCGCTGCTGGGGCTGACAGGCATGGTTAACATGACGCAAGGAATAATTATGAACTACTTGCCAGTGTGATTCTCATGTAAGCCTGGGCCACCAACATTAGTGATTCTCGTGTAGCTGAGAACGCCCACACGAGCGTGCCTCTCAGGTAACATCCGCCGCCCACATGGGTCCGGCAAGGATACATTAGGAATGCGTAGTCAGTCAGGAAGAGTCAGTCAGTATCTCTCGAGTTAAGCGGTATCTCTCTAGTCAGTTCGTGAGTACTCGAGTGAGAGTCAGACAGAATACCGTGTACCCGTCAGGCAGTGGTGTCTGAGTGAGAGTCTCGGTCACGGTATGGGTCGAAGATAGAGTCCAGCTGGCGAAGTTCGGCCAAGGGGACTGGACGCTCCAATAGTAACTGTTCTGGGTGACGACGCAAGGGAGGCATGTGATCATAATGGAAACAAAGCAGTAGGGATGCCGACGAGAGCTGTGTGCTAGAGGGGACTTGTGCTAGAAGTCATGTCGGTCATTGGAGTCCTTCGACAGGCTGATGTGCTGGAGAACGAGCGAGTGAAGTCTATTTTCCAGTCAGCCGAGGTGTCTTCTAAAGTAGAATCAAAGTCCAGTTGATAAAAAGGGTTGTTCTTGTTCTTCTGTACAGCGTGCCCAGATTTGCGGGATGCTGTAGACCTTACGAGCTGTAATGGTCAGAGGTCGCTTCAAGTTAAGAGAGAGAGAGAGAGAGAGAGAGAGAGAGTGAGTGAGGACTATGTTCGAATGCCTGTTAGGATCATTGTCTATGTTTCTGAGAATGCAGTATTGTCAGTGTCAGAGCTTGTGAATACCCTCTTGTATTGTACCAATAAACTTGATGTATGGCGGAGCTGACAGCGTCGTGTCTTAATTCAGTGTGTCAAGTGTAAATCTGTACCTATGGACACTTGGTGGTGTGCACATTAGAAAGCATAAAACAACATAGTAAAACCAGTTTGTCCAGCTAATATGACGAAACCTGGTACAGCCATAGTTTGGGTAGGTAATTTGACATGTCATTGTCTCACCACACGTTACGTAGTTAATTTGACAAGGTCCACGCTGGGAAGTCACCAGTGGCTGGTCGGGGGGTTGCAGCGTCATACTCTCATGCAAGAGACCCGAGTTCGAACCCACAGTAAGGTGATGGAGTTTTTATTTTCAGTTTTAGGCAAAAATAAACATCATAAACTGCACAGTCCGGGGCGACAGCACTAGCTACGTGGTCATAAATTCTCAGTCTCACGATCAACCCCATCCCCGCACTTGTTTTTCTACGCCATCATAACAAGTGGTAAATACACATAGTAAGTGACACTTTGTGTGTGTGTGTGTGGGGGGGGGGATGTGCGTGTGTGATTAATTATTCAATGCCTCACAAAATCAAACTTTGTTTAGTAAATTTGACAAAATCTAGTCTCACCCCAGTTTGTGTAGTAAGTTTGACAAAATCTGGTCTCACCCCAGTTTGTAAGGCGAATTTGAGAGGATCTAGTCTTTCCCTAGTTTGTGCAGTAAGTTTGACAAGTTCTAGTCTCACCCCAGTTTGTGTAGTAAATTTGACAAGATCGAGTCTCATCCTAGTTTGTGTAGTCAATTTGACAATATCTAGTCTTACCCCAGTTTGTGTAGTAAATTTGACAATATCTAGTCTTACCCCAGTTTGTGTAGTAAATTTGACAATATCTAGTCTTACCCCAGTTTGTGTAGTAAATTTGACAATATCTAGTCTTACCCCAGTTTGTGTAGTAAATTTGACAATATCTAGTCTTACCCCAGTTTGTGTAGTAAATTTGACAATATCTAGTCTTACCCCAGTTTGTGTAGTAAATTTGACAAGATCTAGTCTCACCACAGTTTGTGTCGATAACTTAACAATACCTAGTCAAAATACAATATGTGTTGTTATTTTGCAAAACCCTAATCTCACCATAGTCTGTGTAGGTAAGTTGGCTGGAGGTCGTCTTCTGTCAGTTTTTTGTTTTGTTTATTTCATTCGCTAAACTATTCATACAATCTATACAGATTATTGTACAATACAATACCTCCACATAGATGGTATGTTTGACAAGCAGATGTTTAAATGGGGTTTAAATTCTTAATGACACAATCCATTACAGCGAAGCATTCGCTGTTATCATTTTGCACCTCCCTTACAAAACATTGCATCTACTGCTTGGTTTATTTCCTTGTCCACTTCCCGCTTGATGAATTTTCTTGTTTATTGGCTTTTGTTTTCACTATTCTGATTACATCATGAAGCTTGTGAGCTGTCTTGTTGTAGCGGCTAGACGCTAGGCTGCAGATCAGATGGTCGTGTCTTCTGGTCCTGACAGATTTGTTTCTTTCCAAAATGACATTAGCTCTCAGATTGACCAAGCCTTAAACTGGTACCGGATAAAGTCCTAAGAAGTTTAAGCGGCCGTCGTGATATTTACCACATCACCCACCGAGTGTCGTGTGAGCTACATAATATAGATCCAGCCCTATATGCGACTAAAAGCGTGGACAAGAGTACGTTACCATGACACTTGATGATGTCTGCTGTTTCCTTCGAGGCATTGCTGTCCATGTGAGTTCGGTAGCAAATCGACCAGCTGCTCGTCTATCAACCCTGAGGTTTGTATTTGCTATGATATAAATTTTTTTTTCAAAACTGACTTTTTCTTTCTGGTCAACATAACTTCAAATAGTTAGAAGATACTATGAAAACTAAAAGAAGGGTCATTTGGTCTAGAAAATTTTGAGTCTAGCATAATATGTCCGAGGCGCCACTGCCATAAAAAGAACCCCTCACTTACTTCTCTAATATACGTTTTAATAACTTACTTTCAAACCCAGTATGCTTACTAGAAGCCGTACTGTCATTTAACAAGTCCTCCTTGACTGGTGTGTAGTAATCCTCTTCTGAGGCAATGATACGCAAAGAATCTTTATATCACATTCAAGTACCAAAACAAACAACAACAAAGAAAAAACATTTTTATGACTGTCAGCTGCACACACAAAAAAAATAACTTAAAATAGTTCTCGCTTTAACCAGTAGTATATACATTAACATAATACACATGATAATGTCTCTACTTCAAGTCCTTATACGTATTTTATATTTTTCCCTCTGATCTCTTGTAAATACAGTTGGAGCAGAGATAAATAATAAAGTCTCTTACACAATTTACACAAAGAAAACAGTTATGAAAAGACGCTAATGCTTTATTCAGCGAAATGTCCGGAACCAGCTGAATTTCTGGTGCCATGTACGTTAACCAGCCGTGTATACATTAACGCGATGCACATCAGAATATTTTTGCTTTAAGTCTGTTTACGTGTTGTACATTTCCCCCATGATTTCTTGTAAACAGAGTTGGCACCGACGTAAATAACGAAGTCTCCAACACAATTTACACAAGTCAATAGGTTGTGAAAAGACACCAAGACTTTATTCAGCTGAATATCCTGCCCCAGTTGACTGTCTTGTGTAATGTACGCTATAGCAAATGCAAACCCACTACAGACACTGTACAGGATACAAATATTCAGCAACGTTTTTGTCGTTTTTGATATAGGCTGTTGTTTATCTGCTGATTTCTTAACTTGATTTGCTGTCATTTTCTGTCGTCGCTGTGTAAGAATGGCGATTTGAACTCCAATAACTACAGAACCTACGGTGACAATACTAATTGGTATTATTCCTGTTGTGTAATTTACTATACTGTCAATGGTCTCATAGAGTCCACTAGTTAGATCATGGAAATAGGCATCGGTGCGTAGAATAAATCCAATAGTAATTCCTTGTACGACAACTTGCTTAAACTTCATACACACCACGTAGCTATAAATACAGTACGCTCCGTTGAGAAGGAACAGACAAGAAATGATAATCACCGCGCGTCGTGGTGTTAAAATAAAATGGAATGTAAGTGGAAAACGAATGGCTAAAATCCGTTCTACTGTTATAATAACAGGAATCACCATTGCACAGTGAAGGCCAATAGTTCGAGCCCAAGAAAAGGCCATATGCGAAATATAACAGACATAATTAACAGCTGTTGTAAATCTGAATCCTTGGGGAATATACAAAACATATAGATATTTAGGTACGTTGTTTATGCCTATCAGAAATAAAATATCGGAAACAGCCAAAGCTAGGAGAAGTATACTTGAGCACTTCTTGAATCCCTTTCGAGTCAGTAGCACAATGCTGGTCACATTCCCCACAATTCCGACAAAGCTGGTACAGGGAATTATCACGTAATGGAACACCTGGTATATTTTGTCAGCGAGTTCTTCGCGGAGAGGTAGAGCTTTTGCTATTTCTGTAGTCAAAGACATCCCAAGAGTCTCATTTATTGACATCCTTATGGTTAATACCTCCTGGAACTGATATTATCAACGCAAAACAGAATTCACTGGTGGTCAGTGATAAATCGTTGACGCTAACACAAATGCGTGACTATGGAAACAGGTCGATGCTGTCTTCGAGGTCAAGATGGGATTCATTGTAATATCTTGCCAGGGAAATAATTAACTGATGTACCTTGGCGTGGCTTCTGCATCGAAGAACTCGGCACGCACAGAAATTATGAAGCTTAGACAATAACACGATTACATGACCTGTGAGTGAAGCTTCAAGAAACACTCTGATGATGTCTTAGAAGTCAAGACAGGAAAGTGTGTAAGCATCTCGTCAGGAGAACAATCAGTTGATGTACTTTAGGGTGGCTGCTGTACTAAAGGCACAACAATACCCACTTTGCAGGGATGTCGAATGTGATAACATGACATTTCATTCACATTCTAACCTTATCAAATGTCTAATATCTTCTCTCTTCATTTCCCCCGACAACATCCAGTTGTCACAACTTTTTCTACTTTTCTTTTCTGATGACATACACACAAATAAAGATGTGTTTCTCTTCTGATGCGAGTGACACGTTACATTTGTAAGATTTTTTACTTTCTCTTCAAACCTTAGTTTGCTTTTTGTCTACCCAAGGGTTTCTCTTGATATCCTTTGGTATCAAAAGCTCAATTAATGTTCAAGTGTAAGAGGATTAGCTTCATTGCACCAGGTTTTATCCCACATAGTTCAGCCTCTCTGTGTGGTGGCTTCCTGAAAGAGTCACACGAAGCACGAATTCGATACTTCCAGTTACAATCCCCATGAATCTCCCCATCAGCGCGTCACTCGAACCCACAACCTTTAGAGCATAAGTCACTTTGCAACTGCGATTCTTTTTTTAAACTCTCAAAGTAGTTTTAATGTCGCCAATATGATTTTATTACAGAATTTCCAACACCTCTAGTGTTTTAATTCTGTCAGCATGGTATTTTTTAAGGAAATTCTTCAATTCTGGGGGCTGAAAAGGGGAAAGAGGGAAAGGGGGAAAGGGGGGGGGAGGGTCGTGTGTTCATTTTTTTTTTAAATCGAAATATTTTTTTTAAATTGTCGAAATCCACGAAAACCTTATGGAAGATTAACACTCGTTGACTCAAAGAACGATTATTTGGAAGATACTCTAAGATTATAGATTATAATCTAATTGGAGCAAATTCCTAAAACCTAGCTCACCTGTAGAAAGTTAAATTTAAAGCACTCAAAGGTTACGGGTAGGCTCTAGTCCTCTTTTGGTGACTTAAATTAGCAGTTCTCAAGTTTAATTTACGTCAGTATGATTTTACAGAGAAAACAATACATCGCTATTGTTTCAGTTGTGTGAATATGATTTTACTAAAAGGAATATGTTAAACTGTCATTGAATTGTGTAAGTTACAGCAGGTCCACCGAAGCAGGGCAAGAACAAGCTGTAAAGAAAATATCAGAGACCTCCGACAGCAGAAAGCAAGCGTCAGGAACAGAAATCTCGCTTAACAAACTAAGCGGAAAAGGATGAAGTGACAATGACGAATAACAACACATATACATTTTGAGTTTTTATTAGAACAATGGTGGCTTTGTTTTGAAAACGGTGGTAACTAGAATAGACTAGTTACCTCAAACGGTTCCACTTAGAAGAGATAATATTCTGCTGTTCACTGGCACGTTGCCATTGATAATCACGTACACTTATTGCTTTGCAAATTTTATCTCAGGCCTGATTTGGAAAAATTACAGTAGTTCCCCATCAGGTCATCGTTGTAATCGTCAAAAAGAATGAGAAATACCTGAATATAATTTCTGATCTAAATAATTATTATTTCTTGTGATTTAGATCTTTGTCTTGTTCTTCGGTACGATAATTTATGAAACCTATGAAACGTCAGACATGAAAGATCTCTAATGTGTGACTTATTACATCATTACCTTTCAAACCAAAAAGTAATTTATTTGTATTAGCACAATTAATTTCCAACCCTGCACATTTGTTTTCAATAAATCATTCTGGTAAATTACTTCTGCTCTTCGTAAGTTGATTTATGTTCAGCTTGCCAATTGTGCTAATTCGTGCTTTACGAAGTATACTTTTTACATTGAAGTGATGAAATCAATAGAATTTCATGCATGAATAAAGGTTATATAATTACTACTAGTCGTCCCCATGTGGGATGCAATTTTTCGTTAAATTGAAGCCCCACCCTGTCGTATGCTGGTTGCCTTTAATAAAGACAGGCCATAAATATGGCCTGAAGGCTGAAAGAGGTTTCTGGAACCTCTGCACGGGTGATCCTCATCAGCATTTTGGCACCTTGTGTCACTAGGTGTTTATCGCTTGCGTGATGTCCTGGTTGGGTAAAGCTTACACACATAAAAAGTAAAAGTAAAGTTACCTTTTCACGCCTTTCGGCGCATCAGGCATATGGGCAGAGCGTCCCATATTTTTACAGACCATTAGCACTCTGTGGGTAATGTGGTCAGCATTACGCCGGCTGTCTTTACTTTCCCAGGACAGCCCATCCGGGGTACCCATTTTAGGCTGGGTCGACCTGCGACGTCCCATACCACGACAAAAATCCACGCAAAGCTTACACACATACCTACAAAAAAAAATGTCCCGAATGGAGATGTATGACTGTTCAGTCCAACAAGTGTTAGAGTGAAGTGATGACCGATGATGTTTGATGATCGATGATGTTTGATGATCGATGATGTTTGATGATCGACAACTTTCTGTCTTTCCAGACGATAGTGTTACAGTGAGCTATGAGGAGACATGGAACACAGCCAATGGCGATGGCGAGTGTGACAATCAAAACCCGCCTCCCCCCTCCCCCCTTAAGCAAAGTCTTCCACAATTATATCGTGGAATTTGAGGACCATTGTTGTCAAGATTTGTGTTTAGTCTGTTTACTCTTAGACGCTCACATCTCGTCCTTTCTGCAGTCATTTCGTCCTTCATTAACATTCCCCTAATGATGTGCCCTCTCTATACAAAGGGCCTACTAATTGCTAATGGGGTACCGACCCATAGGTGTTGGTGAGGTTAAACCATATAAAATGCAGTTCGGTTCACTCTGTCTTAGGTCTCGGAATAGACTCTCAGATTATGGTCACGAGCTCAAGACACCTAAGGAGGCCCGGGATGCGACCTTTCTGCATCTATGCGTCGATGTATCTGTTCTGCATTAGATACTGCCTAAGTCGGCGTGCCATAACCGATAAGTATATTTTCCCCTCAACGTTTAATAGCGAATAGATTAGGGGAGTCCCGTTCTTTGGGAATGTACCCTCCGTCGAAACTCTGGATTTCTTTACATGTATACTTCTGTCTTAACACCAACCTTTGCAGCATTCGAAGGACTTTTGGACAGCGTCTTTACGCCACGTACGAGATACCGTTGAGTCCTGGGACAGATTCGCTGCTGGCTCCTTTCACATCTTCTTCGACCTCAGTCCAGGAGTGGGTTAACGTCTTACATTTTGCAGCTTGGACCACTTCAGTCCGCTGGTGATCTCTTGTCATCGAGAGGTTCATTTCTTGTCCAATAGGAGTACATTCGAAGTAGACGCGGCTGCAGTTTCAAGAGTTCCAAACTTTGGTGGCTCGAACAGGCCTCGGGCAAACTTGAACGGAGACCTAAAGGACTTTTCTAGTTCCCTCTTAGTTCTTCTGTTGCAACAGAAACGCTCAGCGAGACAGAGAGCGCTGTGTCTGCTCTTCAAGTGCAAGGGGGACTTCGTACAGTCACTCCCGTTCGCTGCCTGTGGCGGCTTTAAACCGTTTTCGTAATGCATTTGTGTCCGCTCAGGACTTTTCTGTGTCCCTTTGTCTTCTGATTTACTCACTTGTGGTGCCTGTCGCATGACAGCGGAACACCCCTCTTGTCTTGCATCTGCCCACATCTTCTACCCCTCCATGGAAATCATCTTAGTTAAAATATGAACTCTTTATCCATAAGTATATAGTCCTTCTTTGTAATATTGGTGAAGATGTCGGGATAAGTACTCAATTCGTTCTTAATTCTGTTGGGAGTAAGTTAGGATGTATATTTTCTCTTAGGTAGGAGATTTTTAGGTCTAGTGAGGGCAACTTCCCTTGCCGAGCCACCGCCACCAAGTCGGAAGAATAGTTACCGCTTCTAAGGTTTTGAGAATTTGAACTGACCGCCTCATTCTTGACAGAGTACGAACGGACGGCTTGATGCCTTGCTTGTCCATCTGCTTTACCTCATTTTGAAAGCCACCAGTGAACCAGGCTACTCTGCTCGAAGATCGTAACTGCCATAGAGTATGGCATGGTACTCACCTCTCTGGATACCAAATCAACAATCATTGTCCACAAGACCATCAAGTGTATCCAGTTTACAGCATGCATTGAGTAGAATCCTCAGCGAGCACCTCACTCGTGCCAATGCTTCAGTAATTCGGCCTAAATGAGACTGATACCCTGTCGATTGTTGCTCGATGATCACCATCGACTTGTGCCCTCAACCCAGTAGCTTTGTTTGTGTATGCTACAAACCAATTGCCACTATCAAGAGGGTAGTAAAATTTACTTTAATGAATTGTTTGTGTTCAAAAAGGAACATTTTCCTTTGCGTGAATTATTAACAATAAGTGTTGTCAACACTAGTAATCTATTGACTTTTATAAATTGTTCCAGGCTGACTCAAACCATCCTCACTGTCAACCTTGAAAAGATGCTGCCCTCAAGATAAGCAGGATCTCCTTGACTGATAAGTAGCTGTACTAGAGATTGCGGCCACCCGCAATACTGAGTACCTGTCACATTGGTCCGCAGTTCCTCAGTTTTGCAGTGATGATATTGCTGTTGCTATAGGCAAACCAGGAGTCAGTCTGAATTTTGAAGTTTTTTGATCAATAGAGATATTTCTTTAAGTCTTGCTGAATTCCTCCCATTATGTCTTTACCTGTGTTGTACTGATTACATCATGTATTGTTATTTTGAATTCATTGG